TTACTGTATACTATACGACATGAGTTTTAAATCGTTTTAAATAAATTTCGTATTTCAACCGAAATTTCAAGTTGATAAATTGAGTTTCATTTCTTGTTTCTTATGTACTTACATTTATAACGACTCTTTCGCAAAAATCATGATCATGAGGAATGGGTTCAAAGTGCTGTGGCCCCCCACCATACCCATGACCTGCCCCCCCTTCTTCGTCTTGACTGCTTAATTTGGGTAAAGACCTGCAAGTAAAAGATGATACAATTTTTGAATTAGTAACCGTAGAGATTTGGATAAATATATCATATATATATATTTAATTAAATAAATATTACATACATTATACAATAGCGGTATTCACACCGAATTTGCTGCCTTAATACTTGGTTTTTGTATATGTAACGAAAGCACTAAAAAGCTAACTAAGAAAACAAGGCATGCTTGGCAGACTGACCTTCGCATACATTTTTGGTAAAACTCCCCATTTTCTGCGTGAAAGTAAAATTTTCGAAATGACAAAATGAATAAAATTTTGATTTGATCGGTAAATCTACTTCAAATTTGTTAAATATAATAGACCATTTCATAAGAGATTTTGTACTTTTTACTTAAAGATAAAACTAAAAAAAAATTTTGTAGGGTTTAAATTTAAACTTTTTCTAAATTTTGAAAATTAATTTAAACTCAACAGATATGAATAAATGGAGATTTTTTACATTCATTTTACTGTATTACGAGTTGCGTTTTGTTGCGCTCTACACCATTTTTATTTTTTTCGAAATCCTGGTTCCATATTGAAAAATTTTCCCGAATTAGTCTCGTTTACGCTATTTCTGAGCTTTTTGGTTAAAATAGTATGATTTTGGAGCCCTTTTTGCCCTATTTTGCGACACGTCGACAAATGCAGGGGCGAAATAAAATATTGGTACAGAGAGTTTTTAACAATGTATGCAACGTCTCTTATTCTAATTTCTTTTCGCAAATTTTGTATAAAAATATTACTTTATTTTTATATTCTTCCACATAAATAAATTGTAGACCATACCTTGTGCAGAAGAAACTGCGTGAAAAACATTGCCAGAAATCAGCGCGATTTTTTTTAAGCAACTTCATACTTGCACTTTGTTATACTAAAATTGAATAAGCTATAAATTGCATAAAATTTTCAAAAAATATGATTAGAAAGTTGCAAATTTTTCTGGAAATTTATAGAATTGTTTTGAATTTTGCTCAAGCTTAGATACATTTTTTATATTTTTTCGATTTTCGTTGTAGTATGAACTATATTTTTATAAACAATTAGCGAGAACTAATTAGAGTAGAAATCCTTGCATACATTGTGAAAAATTCTTTGTGTCAATACTTTTGTTCGTCACTGTACTAATAAAAATGAAAAAATAAAAATATTCTCCAGACCAAAAAAATTTGCAAAAATCTTTTCTTGTTATATATAGTATGAATCATTATAGCGGTAATATCTCAAAAGTTCGATTAATATTACTTTTCTTGTTTTTTGCTGGAAAAGTAAAAACAAAGCTGTTGCGAAAACCCATTTGCCGAACTAACATTAATGAGGTACAGAGCAAAAAGGTTTTTACCGAACAGGCAGCTAAAGAACAGTCGAAGAAACGAAATCGGTGTGAATACCGCTAACTTTTTTTTTTTTTTAATTAATTAAAGGTTATATTGAAAAAACCAATAATTCGATATCACAGTTTTACTGCATTAGACTATATTGAGATTTAAAGATTAAATATTAAAAAGATTGGCATCCCAGCCTATTAATTGTGTATGGTTACAGTTTTTAATTTTAATTTGTGTACGAGCATAATTTAAAATTCCCCTTTCAACAAAATTTTAGTTCACAATACTCGTATGAAAATGTGCAAATTTCTTTGTGCTTGTTGTTGCACCAGAAGCATAAGCACTTGACCTTTTCAATGAATTTTTGGCAGCATTTCCATTGCCGTTTGCCAAGCGTTGATTTCTTCACATTTAACACTTCAATAAATGTAGCGTTAAGCGGAAATTTTTATGATGGTGCTTAAAGTGTAATTGAAAGGAATTTTTGATAAAAATAAGTGTCATTATTTTTTATTTTTGGCAAATGTTAGCGGTACCTTGTCGAGTAATAAACTAGGTGAAAAATTGTTTGATAGTTTGGCGCAAATTCTAAAATTTGTGATATTTCGAGTCGATTTAACTTAAGTAAGCAAGAAGAGAATTTTCAAAAATGAGGTTTCAGATGAAATGAATGGCCGTAGATGTGCAATAAGGTTTTACTTTTTCGAAAAGAGCTGCCACCTGTTAAAAAATTTTATTCAAATTATTTAATAAGGAATGCCAAATAGTTGCCGTCTTGTAAAAAAAATAACTCAATTTATTTAAAATAATAAAAAAACTATTCCGCTGTGGATATCAATGAAATAGTTTTGAAAAGACTTTATTTCTTCTATCTATACATAGTATAAGGGAAAGTAGAGATTCTTTGTACGCGGTAATCTCGAAAACTACTGAACGGATTTTGACGAGATTTTCTCTAATATACTCTGTAACGACAGGAGAGTGACCTTTTTAACTCAGAATTTTAATAGGGTTGCCACCGCATCGTTCGTTGGACTGCTAAAAGTGAGGTGTCAAATAAAAGGGATTGGCCTCTAGAAAAGCACTAACATTATTTTTGGAAAGGGTTGCCACCTGTTATTAAAATTACTATATTTAATCATAATAAGCGTAGGCATCAGTTCTGCACCGTCTCTGTCAATAGAAGCGACTAAGCATCTACATGTGCAACAATGTGTTTTTCTGAGTGGGGTTGCCACTTATTAAAAAGCTAAAAGATTTTCGCCGTTCGTTGGTTTACAAAATGAGATACCAAATGAAAGGGCCTGGCCTTCGCAAGTACAAAAGCTTTCATTTTTTAATAACGTTGCCACCTATTTAAATGTCTTAATAATTTAATGTCTCCTATACATAGTATAAAGTCGAGAAACTTTGACCACGCTAATCTCAAAAACTACTGAACGGTTTAATACGAGACTTTTTAAATATAATGTGTATCGATAGGAATATCATCTTTAGTACTTTCAGTTCCCATAGGGTTGCCACCTGTCTAAATAATTATTAGATCCGCACTGTTCGCTTGATTACAAGAAATCAGATGT